CCCTGAGGTTGAATTGGAGTACATCCAACTGTGTGAGATTCTTTCTGGGAAGGTGCTGAATGGCCTAAAGGGCGGCCAAAGGAGCAACCTGGGCCAAAAGCCAGCCGGTAGCAAAAACAGGAGACTGGAAGTGCCAGTTAAAGTTAAAGGAGTGTCCACACAGGAACTGATTCACTCAGCACACATCCCTTTGTAGCTGACGGTCAATTGCTAGTGGGTGTTGCAGGTAACAGTTGCCTAGGTAACTGTTGTATTTGCCACCCCGTCATATGCCAATCAACACTATCCTTTACTGTTATTGTTGTTGCCTTAATTGCTCATATTGAAGTTCAGAAAAGTTCTCCTGTGGAAATCATTCCAACTTACTTTCTTGGAATGTTCAGGTTCGGGTTCAGAGCTAGTTTGGAGCGAGTCACAATGACGACTCAGAGGGTTAATATTGCAGAAATTCCTTTTTTTTTTTCTTAGAGAGGATTCCAAAAACATTCAGATTTGTAGGTTAATATTTTTAGGGCTTTATTTAGTGGGAAGTTTATTTGTGTTGCGGTGGTGGGATGCAGTTGTGGAGCTAGAATAGAGAGTTGTAAATACATACTGATGGGGAATCCCACGCTGTAGGAGGGGATGTATTGGAAAGCTTGATGATAAGTGCTGTAGATCAAAACCACTATTGTGGTAGTTTCCATGCTCTGTCTTCGAGAAATTTCGGACCTGAAAAGCTATCCAATCACAGCTACATATTGCTTGTTTTTTTTTTTTTAACAACACCCCTCCGTCCTACTGGTTGCACACACTGATCATTTAATGGCACACGCTAATGCTACTGATATCAAAATCATTTTACATCGTGGGCCACATACAGCCCACTTTGATCTTAAGTGGGCCTGACCAATGAAGCTCCATTGTCTGTGAGTGTTAAGAACTTTAACTACTATTGAATCCCTAAAATAGCTCAATTTAAGAAAGAGAAGTCTAATTTCAACAGTACAAATTGCAGAAAAAGTTCTGATAGCTTATTGCTCAGACTGTTATTTAATTCACAGGGTTGGGAGGGTTCACAAACTTGAGCATGACATGTCTCTTCAAGATTCTCAGTATAAAACTATCCAGTCTTCAGCAGTCATGCTAAAATAAACAGCACCACCATATCCATTTCCTCTGGTTAATTCCTAGAAAAACAATCCAGTTCCAGTCTAGTTGCAGTTTAATATTACTAAGTCAATATGCTGTGACTTGAAAAGGGTTTGGCTCCCATTAGCACTGGGACATGACCTCGAGGAGAGAGTTTATTCTTCACACACCTCATCATATGACCAGCATCAAACTATTCTGTAACTCAGCCTGGGGATAAAGGCGTCTCTGTTATAGAGGTGAGAAAGAGGAACTTCTAACCTTTTCCATCCATGTTTAGCTCTGATTTAAGTGGCATTTTAACTCTAACTTCTTACCCTCCACTGTATCCCACTTTGAAAAGCTCACTTCCCCATACACCAAACCCCTTGTCACTGTCCTTGTCTCTAAATTCAGGCCAACACGCCACATAGACATGCATTACTTCCATAACACGTGCCACTCTTTTTCACATGCCAGCGATAACTGCTGAGAGATCACAATGAGGAAGATGGTCATACCATCTGTGCTCTCGGAATCAGCCTCTATTGTTCCACCTATACCCGCAGGACACACATTTGTATGGAGAATGTTGCGTTCAACGACTGCTTTTTAACCCTCTCAGGCTCAAATTAAACTTTTTGTTGCTAATGCACAACCAAGTCCTGCAGTGGTACTTCTGAGTAAAAAAACCTCATAAAATATGTATGTGGGGTAATCAGGTTGTTAGTTTTTAACTGTTGCAAATCAGCAACGCCTGCCTTGAGAGGGTTAAACTTCTCAGTGTGGATGGTAAAGTTTAGATCATGCCCAGAGCACATGACTCCTTATGTGTGCTGTTTTGCTTGGTTTTAACTTAATGAGGAAACTGCATTCAGAACCTCTTTAACTTTTAAGCCTACACAATATAGGTTATTTTACAGCAAGCTTTGACTTGCTATAAAAAAGGATGCCAATAGAGTTTCTTTGTCTCTGCTTTGATGCAGTATACACACAGGTACATAGTCACAAGTTTTATGTTCTGAGTACATACATTAATAATTTCAAATTCATTTTTACCTTAGTAATGAGAACTTTTCAAGATTTAATTGTAATCAGAATAAAAGACATGCTTGAAACATGCATTCTTTGTAACGTCCACCAGGAGAAAGAGCCCTGTGGTTTTAGATAGCCTGATTTGTGTAGAAGTCTGTGAGGGCTTTCTCATTCGTTCCTGTAAATGAGCTTTGGCTCAGATTTGGTTGAGGTTGTGATGAGGATGTGGATTTATGTTTGTGCTCCAACACAAAAACAACATGGGTCTTGCAATATTTAAGTTTGAAGATCATTTTTACACTGTGTAAAATCTTTATAGTTGGATTAATGACACAAATGTGAGAAGAACAAAAATGACTTTTCAATTTTATCAAGTATAAAATGAGGTGAATACGGGATGAGAAGCCCACTTTATTGTAGCATCATTGTGGCGTGACCAGACCAGATTTTTCACATACATTTTTGGGCTGGTCTGAATTGCCCTAGTTCTCCTAGAGGGGGAAACAATAAATTACCACCAGTGCTGTTAAGTCTTTGTTAACTGAAGTGCTGATTGTTGGACTTGGACATCGTTGAGAGGCTAGCCATTGAAAGTGTTAAAGTGCACCACTCTACAGACTGCAAAGTGCCTGTGTGAGTGAGTGTGTGTTTGCTGGGCACCATTTCAGCACCAGGCAGCTTATGCCAACTGGCTCGTTTTGATGGCATGTTAGGTTGAGAGAGGCATACTTTACAGGAATCTGGGACAAGGCAAAGCTGGTGAATTTTAAGCACACTGTAGTGTATGGCTATGGTCAACGTCAAGCCTCAATAAGCTGCTCTGATAGACTGACATTTATCAGTCTATCTAGAGAAGAGAGATGTTTAAAATACTGATTTAGTGGTGTGATTCTCAAAAGGCTTTTCAGGAGAAAGAAGTTTAATCCTGGTCCTTTCTTACTTCTGCACGGCTGCAGCCAGTTAGTCACTGTGTGAAAAGAGCGTCAATGTCAGATTAGTGGTTTTGGAAAGTTACAAAATGTTGAGTCACAGTTCTCTCAGTTTTGACATTGAAAAGGTGTGGGGAAACGGGGATAAATAAAGCTCAGACAATATGTGCTCCTGTGGATCCATACATCTGTTTTCTTAGCTGCTCATCCCATTAAAGGTTGTAAGACCCATCACACTGAGACACACCGAAACACACACTCACTTTCATCAATTAAGCTAACAAACATCTCTTCCGATTGTGGGAGGAAGCCTGAGTACCTGGAGGAAGGCAGCACAGAGACAGGATGGGCACATGTGAACAGAAACACGAAGATAATTTCCCGAAAGGTCAAACTTAGCTGCCAAAGACCTTCATAACAGGAATCGTGCTTTGATACATAATTTCCTAGTTGATTAAATGGGAGGAAGAAAAAGGAAGTAGGGAAATATTCAGAAGATGGTGAAAACCTTTAGTGGGCAAGGACAAACTCTATTTTTTAAAAGAATAGTGTCTGTGTTTAAAGGAAAGCTGAAACTCTTAATCACATCGTTCAGTTTGCATATTGTAACCTTAACTTTGCGCACAGTGTAACAAATGTAACAAAGGTTGTTTCTAGTGTGAGGGGACGTTGTTGCAGTATTTGTCTGTTGGTCCTCTGCCCCTCTAACAATCCATATAGACCCGTCTCACTGACAGGGGTTTCTCACAGATGGATTCTGCTTGTTCAGTCCCATGTTTGTACGATTAGCTAACCTGTGTGTGCATATAGAGGACCCTCTGTCCTCACTCATAGCTCGCTCATGACCAGCCAGTTAGATCTGGCTGGTCATGGATTCATAAGTTCTCTCAGCAGCACTACAGAGCTTCTATCACACTTTGGAAAGGCAGTTAATTCAACTGCAGCTAAGTCAAATTGTATACATATGTTTCCTTGATGTGATTAACTTCACATTCTGTTGATGATTTTGGTTAAATTTGAAGTATTTTAAACATTTCCTTTTTTTTTTTTTTTTTTTTTTTTTTTTTTTTTTTTTGTGTCTTAGAAAATCTCACAAATACGCTGATGTTACTCTTTTTTTGACCTTTTATGCAGCTCAGATTGTTCATCGAACAGTTACATATCGTTTGTCTGACTGTGAGAGAGAACAGTTTTAGCCACGCAAACAGACGCTCTTTGTTTGTGCGTCAGCTTCAGACAACTTCTTATGTGATAAGGGATGGGGTGACCCTTTATGACTGTAGTGTTACTTTCTGAGGAGTGTCTAGTTCCACAAATTATCTTATGTGAGAGGAGGATATCATTCGCTCGCCAAGCTTATTCGTCTTTCCGTCTGTGCAGATTTCATGTCATCTTTATCTTGACGAAAGGCAGGAGACTGAAATATGCATTAAATCCTCCTGCTATCAATCGCTCATTGCAGATTGAATTTAATGCAGAATTTTCAACAATAAATACTTGTCGGCTGTGTCCTCTCTTGTAGCCTTTGCCATGATGTACTGTGTTATTTGGCTCATCAGCCAGTCACCTGTTGCTCATGAGAGAAGGCAGAGTCTGCACATCATTCGGCTGACTTATCGCTCACCTCTCATTACTGTGGTCTGCAGCAGTGTGAGCTAGCAGAGCTGGGATTCAGTGTTAGGTTAGCATATATTACTGAAGTAAACATCTCTGCAAATGTTACAAATGCAGTCATGTGATCTTCATTTCTTGCCTCCCGGTTACGTTAATGCTCAAAGTGCAACATTTTGCAGTGGCCTTGCTCACGCTATTTCCAACAGCTTATGGGCCCCCTTGTAGTTGCCACATTGGTTTGTTTTGCGAGATTGTGGTATCACCACAGACCTGTCAGTGTTTTGTTTTGTTTTTTTTCCCCCGCTGTCACAGCTGACCCATCTGCGTCCAATAGGAGAGGTGCACGACAAGCCGGAGCTACACCCAAGCACGGCTTGTGCAAGCAGGTCCGACTGCACTTTTGGTGTGTGTGATCCTTCACGAGTGTTTGAAGGAAAGTTTTGTTTCATTTTTAGTGTGGCTTTTTAATCAAAACTACAAAACTGTATCTGCTTCAAATATTGGTCATCAATCTTTCTGATTGCTACTAATAATAAAAATGCCATATCAGCCAATCACTATTTCATGCAAACAAAACAAAGTGACTTTTTGATACAAGAGAGTGCGGCCGTGAACCATACCACCATATCAGTGTTTAATTTCACCATAAACACTGATCACCCTGACAGATTAGGGTAACACTTCCTCTCACCGAAAAAGGTTTCCCCTCCATGTTAGAGGCAAAGAAGTGCACCCACTGTGAATACGTCAAGTCCACAGGATACCGTTTTAAATTCAGCCCATTAAAGTTGAATAGTGCAGTTTGTTAGCTTAAACTTTGCTTTATGTTGTTTGGATTGACTTGATGCCAAATTGCTTTGTTTTTTTTTAAAGGGGTAAGTGTTTTCTAGTGAAGATTTTCTGTTTGGATGTGTGTCACACAGATATCTGAGCACATGTCTTCCATCAGATTCAAGGTTTGAAAGGAGTTGGGGAAGCACAAATAGTTCTGGATAAGTCAATAAGAGGCAGTGAGAGCAAAGTGGATGGGGAAGTGATAGATGGAGCAGGTCAAGAAAGTGTGAACTTGATAATAAAAGAACTGCTGAGGAGGAAAAGTGGATGAAATGAGATGAGAAATTACCAGACAGTAGGACACATGGGGATGAAAGGGAACATGCGGATGGATAGATTGGAAAAATAGGATCACGCAGACGGGACGCTTGGTGGATTTAATTAATCACTCTTCTCTTTTTGGTTTTTTTGGTTTTGCTCAACTATGTAACGTAGTAGTCTGTATGACAAGAGTATTGTGTGCTCCAAATGTAAAAATGTGTAGGAAGGGCTGGAAGGGCTCGAGGAGAACAAGATGTTCGAGGTAAAGGGAAGAAGGAGGGATGGGCACTTAGATGCAAAGGGGGCTGGTCACAAGACAGTTGGGTGTCAGCCTACGAAACATCTGTATAGTATAAGCGAGGCAGAGCTTATTCAGCCCTGATCTGATCAGTGGAAAGCGAGAGCCTCCGTCTGTGTTTGAACGCCTCTCAGAGTAAGTTTATTTGCTGTTTGTTCCTGTACTTGTTGTGTTTAAGAGGAGTTGTGTGCTGTGAACTTTTGAATTTCAAAACTTTGTGGGAAGATGCCTCTGGCTTATTGTTGCTGAAGTGTCAAGCTGCTCTTTGTTGCTGCGGTTAGTTTGTGTTGTAAACACAATGGAATGACTGAGGGGTTGTTCACGTTGCATAAATTAGAAAATGAAATTAAGCTTTTATTGAAATTTGTGTATTAATTAGATTTTCAATCTGAGGTTGTTTGGAAACCAAAAACGGGGGGTTTCTGAACTATAAAAAGGTCGTCATGTGGAGTAGGTGGAGAATCCAAAAAATGAAGCAGCAGCGTAATAAGCTCAGTTGCTCTTTTAGTTAGTGCCCTAGTTGGGAGTGAGTAGCTGTTGGCCTGCTCGTGCCAGCTTGTTCTGACCTCCTCCTGGCAGAAGCTCCAATTGTTTCTTTTAGAAATAGCTCATCCTACTCCGAGTTTGTAAGGCGATTCATTTACAGGACGAGTTTAACCAGTATATAAATAAAGTTACCAGTGGAAAAAAAACACGTGTAAATACTTGATATCACAGGCTATGCATTGCTTTTAAAATGTATAACAAAGCTGCAAGCGCAGCTGAGAGGAGAGGTGAGAAATGTATACATTTTAACCAGGTTAAACAATGCATCGTGTGAAAGAAAGTGGAGGATATTGAGGCATCCACAAGACTCGGTGCTCACTCTATTACATGTGAATATGTAAATACAGAAAGAAACAAATGGCTGCTGATAATAACACGTCGGAGATTTTTACTTGTGTAACCTTCCATTTGTCATCTGCACATTGCAGACCTGGTGCTGCACTAATCCAACACTGAACACGGACCCCAAGATTGTCCATCGAGAACCATGACGGCCATCAATGCGCCTCGGGACAAGTAAGAGGAGAATTTTTAAACGATTTAAGCTGTGCCTTTGTTGGGTTTTATCTTGGCATTAATATTCTCTGACTGAAATTTGGTTGAGTCCCAGTGTATATATTGTTGCGATTTGTTTGTTGATACTAACATGAATGACTTGATTGATGTGCCTTCATGCGAACTTCCTTTTGCTTCTTTCCCAGATACAATTCAGTATGGCTCATTTTCTTTATCCTGGGCTTGGGAACCCTCTTGCCATGGAATTTCTTCATGACGGCAACAATGGTAAAGTACAATTTTAATCTTGTAATTGCGAGAGCGTCTGCAGGCCAATGTGGTTTATCTCTAGATCAGGAGACAGATGGAAATAAAAGGAAGAGCCCTGGTGGTGCCTTTTGTGGTTAACAAGTAGTTCTTTGAAAGGTTAGGCTTCACTAATGGGAAGGTTGGCAAAACAAAGGCTGGTGTACCTTTCTTTTTTTAATACACTTAATGTTAGTGGCTGTCACACATCAAAGTTTCAGTTGAAATTAAAATGAGATTGCTCAGCTCTGCTTGACACCATCAGGAAACTGTTTGAGTGTAAAAATCATGTTCATTCAGCTTAGTTTGACTCAAAATTTTACCCTCAGTCTGTTGCAGGAGTCCTACAATAAACACTGCACCCATAGTTCAGTTTTTTCTGTAAATTACATTCATGTGACATAAACCTGTGACTCCATATTAGTGATGAATTGCAGGAGAACCCTTGTGGTAAATGTGTGTTCTTCCCTCTGTTATCTTCAGTACTTCACCAGCAGACTGAAGGACGTGCCCACTGTGCACTCCTCCAATCAGACAGCCAACGTGACGGCCGGAGACTCTCGCAATGTGCTGGAGTCCAAGTTCAACAACGTGATGACGCTGTGCGCCATGGTGCCTCTGCTCATCTTCACCTGTCTCAACTCCTTCATACACCAAAGGTATCGAACTACCGTCAGTCTAAATAAAAAGCTCGACTCATTAAGAGGCAAACTGTAAATATTTCTAATGAAGCTAGAAGTGAGAAAAGATCTGAGGGAACACGAGTTGGGGTTTAGTGGCCACAGTATTGCATTATAATGAAATAACAGCACTAGCTTTCGGTTTCAGTTTAGTATCTTTTCTCATTTTATGGCACTGAGACATTTTTAATTAGTATATTTCATGTTTTTCAAACATTTTTGCCCTTTTGTTTTAATTGTGATTAACCCTTTTTAAAAAAAAATGTTTTTAATTGTTATAAATATCGACAGTCTCCAGAGAGTACACCAGTAGCTAATATTTATTAATACAGCATTTTTCTGAGGCAGAATTTACATTTAGATTTTTCTTCAGTGGTTCACAGCGCTTATGTCTAATCTCTGGGGCGGTATCTCTGCTGATACAATCGTCATAACGACAGTAACCAATCACTCACAAGGCAAGCTGTCTAAACAGTTAGCCTCAATGGAGCTAGTATATTAGGAGACCTCCACATTCATCCATCAGGCTCAAACTTTTAATTGCTCGAATTTCTAATCATCTTCATTACTTACACAAGTTCAGTGTAATATAAATCCCCTGGTGTAATAACTCAGTTATAACTGTTTTCTGTACTATGAAGTAATTTTACCATAGCTGTTTTTTTTAAATTAATTCGGAGAAGATTGTGTACACAAGACTTAACACGCACAGTGTAAACTTTTCCTGCCCTTAACCTTCAGTCACCCCGTGCCACTGTGAGTAACGTGATCCTGTTGTATGAGCTTATGTTTAGTGTGTTTGGTTTAATTAGAGTAGGATTGAGAACAATCCCGGGTGGCCCTCAACCACAATGAACCCTTCTCCTGCACTGCTTACTCAGGAATGTTATTTATGTTCCCTACTTCATGTATCTTCTTTACCTCTTCCTGGTTTGCTGTACTTTGGTTTCCCTCTGTCTCCCTCTCTTCCTTGGTTTCATTTCTCAGCATTTTTACCACTTAGTTTTTGCTTTATGTGCCATTTCTATGTACTGCTGTTCTTTCAGAAAGACATAAAAATGAGCTTAAGATGGGGAAAAAAAGGGCTTAGTCACTGCAACTGACTCAAGCACTTCCGCTTTCTTGAAATTTGCATTTCTTTGAAGAGCAGTAACTGAGTGATGCTTGTGTGCTTTCAGTATGGGCGTTTTTAAATGTGGTTTTTCTTTGTTTCAGGATTCCTCAGAAATTGAGAATCTCGGGCAGCTTGACTGTCATCCTGGTGGTTTTTCTGGTGACAGCGGTGGTTGTTAAAGTAGAACTGGCTCCTCTTCCCTTCTTTGTCCTGACCATGGTCAAAATTGTCTGCATCAACTGTGAGTGTCTAGTGCTTAAAAAAATGCACAGTTCTTCAGAAAAAGTAGGCTAAACTAGCCTACTTGATAACAAGAGCAGTGTTGGTACTTTGATTATGTGCATTCACCTGTAGGCCATGTAAACCTTTTGTTTGTAAAATGTGGAGAAAATGTTAAATGACTTTGTTGAAGAAGAATAAAGTAAAAAACATAATTCAGTAAATCTAAATTTAAATAATACTAGATGAAAAGAAACAATAGAGAGCTTAAAATGAGTGCAGGTAGTGTGGGAGGAGGTTTTTATGAAGTTTTTCTACATCTCTGCTTGGGGCAGTGGAGTTGAAATGGATGTTGGATAAGTGTTCAGCTTCGTGTCCTGTAAGTGGTGCAGAGGACAGTCAGGATCCATTAAATGTCCACATCCAGTCAATTACATGACCTCTTTGCCAGCTGATGGAGGAATAAAAAAAGCATATATTGATTCAATCTAGATTCAAAAGACAAAACAAGGACGAATTACCTCAGCAAACGAAACAGATTCCAGCAGCTAGCAGTTCAGAATCCGGGTCACAAAGCATCACTTCTGGGATCACACCACCTTTCAGTCCCAAAACATTTCGTCTGTCCGCTCAGATTAGTGTCCCTGTTCAACCCCAGAAAATCAACTTTTTCAGGTGACAAACTGAATAAAATTTAAACGTTGGTACAGAGGACAATCAAATTTCATTAATTATCCACAGCCACAGTTATTTAGATCAGCGGTCCCCAACCCCCGGGCCATGGACCGGAGTCGTTTGGTACCGAGCCGTGAGAGTTGAGGCTCAGGTGTGAAATGTATGGTTTTCAGGGTTTTTAGCGTCATTTTGTTATCGTTTTTATCGTTAACTCAGTTTTCCTGGGACTTTTCACGTGTGTTATGAATAAATCCTCATTTTTTCGGTACCGGTACTAATTTTATTTTTGTTGTATTTATCCGCGACACCTTAAAGGCCGGTTTGTGAAAATATTGTCGGGCATAAACCGGTCCGTGGCGGAAAAAAGGTTGGGGACCGCTGATTTAGATGACCTCTTTGTCAGATGATGGAGGGTTGAAAACTGTATGTTGATTCAAACTACAGTACATCTAAATGGCAACAGCAAGAACGGGGATCTGGGGGTAAGGGGGGGTACAGCAGCCAAAACATGAGGATGTGACCAACAAATTCATTTAAAATCACACACCAGGGGTACAAAAAGGGGAAAAATGACACAGAAGTAGTTCAGTTAAACAGAAAATGTGGGGAAAAGGCCTCAGAGAGTTTTCTGATTTCTGCACGTGCCAAAGGCAAATGAAGATACACAGCTTGCTGCACATCTGCAAAGAATTATCCTGCATTAGCAACATAATCATAAATTTAAGAGCCCAGAAACAGAAAACTAACAATTATAAGCTTCATGAAGATATCTGTATTAGAATAAGAATTTAATTCATGGCCTTATTTCCATGTTGAAGTCGTATAACTGATTATTTCTGTGGATCTTTCTTTGATAAAAATCGTCTCCTGAACATGTTGGGAAAATTCACACAGACAAAGATACACAAGCTGCGCTCTCACAGTGTTTGCTTGTTTACAATAAGCCACAGAGCAGCAGGAATGAACTTACCCCCCTCCTTATCCCCAGTGGGCCAGTCCTGACCCCCAGATTCGCATGTGGAACAGCCCATCGTGTTTGCTTTAGAGCGGAGGACACGGTGACTTTGAGGCTTTGATATCTGCGTTGGCACATTCCTCTGTTTCACACGTTTCGAGATTTCTGCAGCTACTAACTCGTTTGTAATGCGGAAGGAATTTGTCTGGAAAGTCTGTACTGACAAAAAACCTTTTTTAGGGGAGACAATTAAAATGATAGAAGTGTTATGCAACACTTATCTTGAATACTTTGATCAGAAGGATGTTGTTTCTCTCTGACATGCTTGTTGGCTATAACTGTGTAGATGTGGATCATTTTTTTGTGTTTCTGTGTCACAGTCACTCTGTAATTCCTCAAATGTGTTTTTCTCTTTTTTCATCCCTCTCCAGCGTTTGGGGCGATTTTTCAGAGCAGTCTGTTCGGGCTGGCTGGGATTCTACCTGCCTCTTACACCACTCCCATCATGAGCGGACAGGGGCTGGCCGGCACCTTCGCTGCCTTCTCCATGATCTGCGCTCTGGCCAGTAAGTCTGGGATTAAACAATATACGGGGGTCATTTCTTATATTCTGAAAAAGTTCTGACCCTCCTCTGAGTCGGCTTACTTTTTATGTTCATCAACTTTAAATGAAGCCATGAAAAACTTTAGCTTCTGTAACTTACCCCAAGATGTCTACTACACTGAATTGCCCCCAAAAAACAAACAGACAAGGTCACTGCCACAAAACACCAGACCACTACAGCTCCTCTTGCAGGTGGTGAACCCATGTGGTTTATTTGAGCAGGCACTTGCCAACAAGGCCAGGGTTGCAGAGTGGTTTCCCCCTTATCCCTTCTCCAAGTGAGGTAACTTAGTTTATACAGGATCACCACATTTTGTCTTCACCCAAAACCAGTTTGCTTTGGGTTACCCTATCAAGGGTCAATTTACCCCACAGTTCATGCTCCTCCCCCAACATGGTGATTCACAGAGTAAAGCACTTGTGAAGCCACGGTGCCAGTGGCTTCAGTCTGTGATGCTTGAGTGAGTAAATGTGTTCTTCAGCCCTATTAATGTCCCCTGAGTCTGTCCTGTCCTTTAGAAGGTATGAGGGCTGGAAAAATGATGTGAAATTAAAGGCACAAGATTTCAGCCCTTGTGGACTTCAGGGGTCTGTAACTCTGACAATGTTCATAACGAGAATGTAAAAGTTTCTGTGGCTTTATTAAGTGTTCTTAAGTTATTAGAGAAATAAATCAGCTGATTCTGAGGGACTTGGGAGGAACTGATTCATTTTTCATGAAATTATCCAATAATAACAAAACACACTAATGACTCTGTGTGATTGTCTTCAGGTGGGTCAGAACTGCAGGACAGTGCTTTTGGTTACTTCATCACAGCTTGTATTGTGATTCTTCTGGCTATAATGTCCTACCTCATTCTTCCCAAGATGGTAAGGCCTCAATCTATAAATAGAACTTACATTTTTTCCTGGTTTTCTTCCTTTCTAGTGCTTTTTATTCACAAGGTATTTGTTTGAAAAGGACGTTTTGATTGATGGCGAATAAAATTCAGTTTCTCTGGGAACAAGCTGCTCATCTTTGTCCTGCTGGTTTAGTGGAATCAGTTAATTATGGTTTTTGTTAACAGGAGTTCTTCCAGTACTACATGGAGAGCAGTAGATCTGCACCATCAGCCGATGAGGAGAACAAGATGGACTTGCTCAAAAAAGGTGCTTACCGGCCTGCTCATTATAAAAAAGGACAACAGTGTGAAACTTTTAGATGTGTGCAAAAAAGAAGCAGCAATGAAGCTAATGCAGATGTTTTAGTCAGGGGGTTAAAGCTAGGACACAGCTTTTCATGTTATGCTACGTTATAGTCCGCTTGTACCGTAGAGGCTGTGCTGTCACAAATTTCTGCCTCTTGGATGTTACAGATGCAAAAAAGCATAACGCTGTTGTAACTCAGACTTTGATTCTGGCTGTGCAAATTCTCAAGAACTGACATCACATGGAGAGCAATAAAGTTCAACATGTGTACCCCGCTAGATCAGATTCTCGAAATTCTGTCATCTGTTTTGTATTTTTCCATCTTAACCAGCGGTCCCCAACCTTTTTTGCACCACGGACCGGTTTATGCCCGACAATATTTTCAATATTAAGGTGTCGCGGATAAATACAACAAAATAAAACTAGTACCGGTACCAAAAAAAAAATTTATTCATAACACACGTGAAAAGACCCAGGAAAACCGAGTAAACGATAAAAACGATAACAAAATAAAACCATACATTTCACACCTGAGCCTCAACTCTCGCGGCCCGGTACCAAACGACTCACGGACCGGTACCGGTCCAAAGCCCGGGGGTTGATCTAAACGGTAGTTTTAACAACATTCTGCTGAAATCTAAACTGATCCAGAATCTCAAAACCTGCAGATTCCACAAACCTGTTTTCTATTAAGTGCAATCTGTAGCTCACATGTGCTGTTGGCAGCACTCAGTAAGCTCCATCCTCGCCTGTTTCCTACGATGAAACACTTTGGAAATTGTACTTTTGTTTCTCTTGTTAGATTAGACAAAGACATTATTTAAAAAGATTGCATGTGACTGGTAAATGGGATTCAGACTGCAGGGCTTTATCTCCATCCAAGGCTTCAATCTGCTTGCTTCATACAAGTCTTTCTGCCAGTGTAATTACAGGCGTGGCAGCCACTATTCCTAAGAACCCCCTCACCCCCCACCCCAACTTCCTGTTAACTGTTTAAACACACAAAGACAGTTTAGAAAACTGCTCTTTTTTCGCTTCTTTATAAAGAGCCAGGCAAATGATGCTTATCAGCTGAAAACCTTTAAAACCTTTAAACATTCAGCTGATGTGTGCCTACCTTTGCCCACTTTTTTAATGCTAGAAGTGAAAATAAACCCCCTCCTCACTTCTGCACAGCTGCACATATGATGATGAGGCTGCACGATTAGCATTAAAGCGGGTGAACAGAGCTGCAGGAATCCAGGGTGGAGGTGGATTCCTGCAGCTCTGGAGGTTTTAGAGAAAATAAATGGGAAGTCATCTTGTTTCGGGAGTTCTTACCATGTTTCCTTTGATATGAAAGGTTATTTTCTTGAGTCAGTGTAATTTTATAGGGAGTAGGAGTACCTAATGGGAACCCTTTTGACATATAAGATGTAACAATGGGGATCTTGTGTGTACACCCACTCAAATATAGTAATGATGCTCTAAACTCCAGGTGCTGCTTGACCAATAAATAGTTTGGGTTTTTTTCCCCCTGAGAACGTGAAGCTGAAAAGCGGCCGGTGGTGAATCTCATGGAAGATGAGACCAAACCCACCTCGTCTGTGTTTAACATCTTCAAGCAGGTGAGATGAGAACTTATAAGGCAGAAACTCCGGTTTTGTTACCGGCAAAACTTTTGAGTCTTTTTTTTCAAATCATAAATATCGTGTATTGAGTTGCAGAAGCTTCTATCACATTAACTAGTTACTACTGAAGCTGTGCAGCCAGCAATCTCATTACAAGTCGGACATTATCTGTTCCATGCAAGCATTTTCTACCTGTGTGACAGACTGGTTACGTAATATTGATAAAGCTCTTCTTGTTCTCTCTAATCAGATTTGGGTGATGGCTCTGTCTGTGTGCTTCATCTTCACTGTCACCATTGGAGTTTTTCCAGCCGTGACCGTCGATGTCAAGTCGACAGTTGCTGGTGAAAGTGCCTGGGGTGAGTCTGCAGGTCCCTTTCATACAAACAGTTACTGTTACAGTAATCAGTGAGCCAGGAATTCTGAAAATCTGATATTGGAGTTGGATGACTGCTAAGAATCTTTAACTCCTAAACTCCAGCAGTAATGGAAACTGCTCTCAACTTCTTCTCTGAAAGTGGTCGTTACAGTGGGTTTTTTGTTGGACACTCTTCCCCAGAAGGATTTGTCTCCTTCCAGGATTGAACTGGGAATCATTTGCTTACCCATTAACCTCCAATCATGATATGGGGAATTTTTAAGGCCTGGACAAGTTATTGAATTTCATTCGCCTTCCAGTTCTTATAAAAATGAAATAATCATGACAAGAAGATTACAAAAACTGATCAGATCCTATCTCCTAGGGGGTGCCTGCTGGTTGACGTGGATTCCAAATGTCTGTTTTTTGAAAGGCTTTTAGTTCAACGTGCTATGAAATTGCTGCTCATTTTCTCTGTTTTCACACACGAGCTGTGTTTTTAGAAATCACAGTGTTTCCAGCAGTGCTGTGGAAAATATCCAGAATTCAGACTTAAGTGTTGTAGAGTCACTAAACCTGACATTTGTGCTCATCTGCATAGTTTCATTTGAAAATATTATGGGCGAGACTTCATTTATGAACTTCAGAGCAGCCTGTAAAATTCTAGAAATTATTTCCATTTAAACATCATTTTTCTATAAGGTTTAAAGTGTCACCAGATCAGTTTTAGAAATTACTTTGGTGTTCTCTGGATCCCTCCGTAAAAGTGAAAGCAAACTTCACCTCCTCCTCTTAAACCAGCAGAGGTTTAATGGATTCCTGTGTATTTTTATTTGAGGAAAGCATCTCTGCAGTCTTGTTGCTCTTGACTACAGTCGGTTTGTTTTGATCTCTTTTCAGAAAAGTACTTCATCCCCGTGTCGTGTTTCCTCCTTTTCAACGTGATGGACTGGGCTGGCAGGAGTCTGACGGCCATCTGTATGTGGGTCAGTAAATCACAAATGAGATTTCTTACCAAAATTACCAGTGAGGCCACATCACGAAGCTAAAAAAAAAAAAAGCCACAGTTAGTTGAAACTTGTTTGCTGTGGAGCCAATTTTTCAGGTTTCAGGTGAGTGCAGAGCTGGCTTTGTTTGTTTGTGAGCTCGGTCCAAATAGCTGCACGGCCAAGTTAACAAGCCTTTATCCATCAAAAACTCACACATTGAAAGTATATAATACACTACTTAAGCGTGTTTTAACCTGTACAAATATGCAGCGATGACAGTGACCAGTGCTTGAACCAGATGATCAAGTATTCTTGATTATTAACTCCTTTAAATGCATTTACAAACAACATTAAAGAAAGCCTCTGGCTGCATAAAATGTTTGCCCTTGTATGAATAACTGAGTCATGAAGGGAACGATGGAAAAACAAAAGACGTTCAGGGACGAGCTTTTCTGCTGAGATCAGAGGTTTGTATTGGAGGAAAGAGTGTGCGTGTGTGTGTGTGTGTGTGTGTGTGTGCGTGTGCGCGCACATACGTGTTGTGCGTGTAAAGGGATTTTAGGGGTCAAAAAAAAGTGACTGGTGTTTTTCAGGGTTTGCTAATCTTTCCCTCACATCTGGATGAACAATGGGTCCTGGGTAGAAAGGCAGAAAGCCCTCGGGTGTCTGTTTCCATTGTGAAATAATTTTTGGATAACTTTTATTCTCCTACAAGCTTTAATAGACTGTTTTAGGTTTGCAACAGAGATGCATAAATATTTTAGCTGATATTAAACTGAAAATCAAGTGGCAGTCATCAATATTTATCTGGTTTGTTACATCAGTTCTGCTAAATATTCCAAAAGTATGTAATAAAGACATTTTTATGCAGAAGACTTCACAACAAAACAAAAAGCTTAGTGTCGTCAAACTCGTAATTCAAAGTTTAAAATCTGAGTATCTGCTGAGAATTTCACAATTGATTCATCCTGAGCTGTTTTTTTTTAAATGTTCTTGAGTCTGGAGATGGTTACCTCGATCCTATTAGGCCCCAGTGTGCCTCGCCCAGGCTGGGGAGTCTCCTCCTAATCTAAGGCCGGCACTACAAAGCAAGTTAAGCACGCCCAGGATCTCTGTCTTTCTTATCTGGCTTCTCTTACTCCAACTTCAGTGTTCAGTCTGACAGGGTTTTTATCAGCTTGATTATATCCCACTGACCAATTATGTTGGTTGCAGTGGTAAGGCACAACTTTTACTCTAAAGGCAGATGTTCTCTGCAAGTTTCACTGCAGCTCAGAGATTAACAGTCGGTGTCTTCCATGCAAACTATTGGCAGCCGCTGCAATCTGCTAGCAATCAAAGCGATTACAAGGAAGCCTTTGGTGCAGCAGCCTCTTTGCAACCCATTTCACCTGCCAACTAGAGCCTTTTAAGACTTTTAGGATCGATACTGATATTTGGTGATTTAAAAATCCGATATTCTTTCTTTTCTTTCAAATACACAAAACATTAAGTGATTTCCCATTTGTTATGTAGTTATTTCTGAAAACTTATGCAGATGACATGATAATATACTTGGAAACTATCTTGTTTTCCTCATGTGGTGTTACCAGCTCTGCTTGGATCGCCTGTTTGTGGCATTTTTGTGTTGCAAACGGGGAAGCTGCAGAGCGCCCTCTGGTGAACAAACCATGCTATATCAATATGCGCGCCATGGTTGATGGGTGTTTCTTCCATCACTTCTTTATGCTGTTGTCATTTATCAATCCTATGTTATAAATACATCATCAATCTCTAGTAACCTCTTGCCAACTGGTCAGACAATACACGTTTTTCCCAAGCGACCGCTGGTTGCCAGGGGGTTGCTAACCAGTCTCTAGGCCCAGTCAGCCCAGCGTAGCTACAAGTGCATTGACTTGAAGGAGGCGGTGTTTGCAGCTGATAACCAATCACAAACGTGTGACAGGGCCATCCAAACGGATGATTTTACTAAGGAAGGCAAAACATATATAAAAAGATTAAGATATTAAACACATAATCCAGTCATTTGATAATGATGAAAATCCTACACACTGGCACTTGCATATTTAAAAAAACAACAACAACAACAAAAAGAAAGAAGTTCATCCTGTTCACCACTTCTCAGCGTCATGCTGATGTTTGTTTTTAGAATCATCGCTTCCTTTCTGGTAAAAACATTTATTCAAACCTTTTGAAACCTCGTCCAGAAAAAACAAATTACCAAGAAGGTCAGATTTCCTGTGCGGCAGAGGAACTCATCTAATTTAATCATCAAGCCCAGTACAATCTGTTGACGTCCTCTGACCTGGCAGGAATGCAGCTTCTCGCTGCAGATAACGCTTGTCAGCTGATTCAGCACCATGTGATGTGTTTTTTAAATTGTCAGATGAAAGATTGGCGACTGTTTTCCTCTCTTTGTGATTCCACATCTGTGTTTGTCCTGTGGAGTTAATGCTGCTCGAGCCTTTTGGAAAGTCAAAAAAATCGAGAGCACGTTGACGTTGCATGATATTATTTTATATCGCTGACATTGGGGGAAAAAATCACACTAATTTCTCTAGAATGCTGATTCTGTGTTTTTGGGCTCATAACAAAAACGTTTAGGAACCACTGCTCTAGAAGATTTCTATATTTAACATATTACATCTTTTAGGGGAAAATGCTCTTCTGTTGAAGGGCTTTACTATATATTGAGTTAATACATGATAAACACATTATTTTATTTTGGATTTATATTCATTCAAAAGAAAAATCTTTGGGCTGTGAGAGAAGGCCTGAACTGAGTTTATTTTTACCTTCATTTTTTCTGGTCGGTGTAATTTTTTTGTTTTCTTCATGTTATTGAGACATTTTGTCATATTTCACATTATCTTTTGAGCTATTTCACAATATTTAAGTTGTTTTGTTATGTGCTGTGTTTAATCAACGAAAGTTTTTAATCTTATAAAATCTTGTTTTGTAATTTATCTATATCTCATTACTTATTGCATTCATGCCTTCTTTTGCATTGTATCTTATCTAATGCTAGTTTCTGGATACCAAACAGATCTCTTCAAATATTTTTTTTGTCTGACAAACAATCAATACTCTTTGTGTTTCTCTCTCTCCAGCCGGGCAAGGACAGCATCTGGCTTCCTATCCTCGTGGGCCTGCGGGTCGTCTTCATCCCCCTCTTCATGCTCTGTAATGTCCAGCCTCGTGTGATTTCCCAAACCGTGTGGTTCAGCCATGATGCCTGGTACATCATCTTCATGATTTTTTTCTCCTTTTCCAACGGATACCTGGCCAGCCTCTGCATGTGCTTTGGACCCAAGTAAGGACTGCTCACCTACAAATCACAAACCCATCGGGGTGGGGGGGGAGAAATATTTCCTGCCTGTCCTAAAACCTTGTTCCTAACAGGACCTCTAAAGGCTAAATGAAATCAAAACAATATGAAAACTATTAATTCGTACACATCTGCTGACTTGGCTTTTGAGAGCTACAGAAGCCAAGTCGGTGAATAAATCATTAAATAGTTCCCATTTCTAACTTCAGTTAAAACTGCGAACCACATACAAATTTGATCAAATGTAAAAATCAAATGAATTCCATTGAAAGCTGCTGGTTGTTTTAACTCTGTGTCCACACTGAGGTAACTGCAGCATGCTTTTACTTTAATGATATCCCCAAAACAAACATAACATGTAATAGCAGAGAGAAAATATTAAAAATTGATGCCTAACGTAGAACCGGTCGTATGTGTTTCTACCTAAAGTAGCAACAAATCTGGCACCACACTACTGCAGACATCAGTGGCTGTGAGCAGGGCTGAAAATGATGCCAGTGCTCAAGTTTCCAAATCTGCATTTCCTCTGGTGACCATTTGAGGCCGGCTTCATAAACCTAACCCATCCCCATAGACTCGCATGTTAATTTGGGATATGAATAGACTGGAAAACAAACAACATTTGGCCTCTGTGGATTGTTTCTCTCCAACACTACATAACTTTCAGTTCTCAAATGTGTTTGTGGAGATAATAATCTGAATTTCAGGAGTGGGACCGTGCCTCCATACATGCCTTCTTCTTCTTTGTCTATATATTACGCCCCTGCACTATAAGCTGTTTGCTAATAGGCCTTCCGAATTCAAACAGTACCTTTTTGTTTTTTATGAAACGAAAGTTTTCATTGAAGGTAGTCTAACCAGCCAGACAATCCCCTCTCCATATTCTATCTATAAGATAAACTCACCGTTAAGACTTCACCAGCTGTTGAGTCATTATCTCCAACCTCAAAATCCCAGAATGCTTCAGTGCCAGTGTTCATCAGAGCCCAGCTACCTGATTCAATCTTCAAGTTTTGCCCAAGCCATCAGCTACTAGAAACCCTGTCAAACCTGAATGAGGATGGTACTCCCAGCTTGTGAACCATTTCTCAAAAAGCACCAAAGCAGAACTGACACTCCACTTTGTGTTCCTTAACGACTCATTCTTAACTGATTTTATCCCTCTGTCACCTTACAGGAAGGTGTCGCAGCACGAGGCAGAGACGGCGGGGGCCATCATGGCCTTCTTCTTGTCCCTCGGCTTGGCACTGGGAGCTGCTGTCTCCTTCGGTTTCCGGGCTGCGATCTAAAACCTGCAGTAGAACCTCAAGTAGATTTAGGTGGACCATCCTTTCCTCCAACATCTTCCCTGTCATGATCCTGTATGGGAGCAGCTTTCAGTAACAGAGAGGAGACTGCACAGCAGGCTAGAGGACCTCAGTTTTCGACATGTGTACAGTTGAGACTCATCCATTCAACAAGAGCTGAAATGGGATTTTTTTTTTTTCAGCAGCACAGTGTGCAAACCTTTGTTTCTCCTGTTTTTGAGGACATTTTCTAATTGGTAACCACTGATCAGATCAATATTTGGAGTGGAAATCAAAACCAAAACTTTTAGTTTTAGTGTACTTGTTATAGAAGAGCACAAAGTCTTTACAGCACAGACTCATTGATCAACTGTTATTTAAAAAAACAAAACAGGATTAAAATGTTTTAAAATAAGTTACTTCAAGGAATCATTTTTAAAGAACAAATCTGTCGTTAATGAGGTTTTTAGATGGTGCTCGGTGGCTCATTCAGTAAATTGAAAACGTTTACACATCAGACATGAAACGCAACTGTTAATCACTCCAGACCGTTGCAGTCTTTAACGCGGATCAAGCCAAATAAATGAAGACAACATGGGAAAATCTTGAACTCTGAAGGGAAATCTTGACCCATCACTCGGTTAAGGAACTGCTTCACTCCTCTCTGCTCAGTTTTTTTTACTCAACAAAGACGTCAAAACTCAAAGAATGTAAAGATGGACTGAATCCTAAAGCGGAGGTTATAAATAACTTTTTTTTTCTCCTGCTGAATCTTCTTTGTTTTAGCGAGCATTTGTAGTTTCAGATTATTGTTATTATTATTATTAGTATTATTGTCTCTCTTGCTTCAGTTTGACTCATCCAGATGTCACACGTTTTGTTTTTTTCTTAAATTGCTGCGTCTACCTGATAAAAATGAGACTTTGTGAATAAATGCATCATGAACATGCAAAACGTGCAGCCGTCAGTCACGTTACATGGCAATGTGAGTGAGATTGGGACTTTAAAAATGGCGTATTTTCTCTTTTAAATGTTCTGTACGTTTTATAGCAAATGTAGTTTTTAGCTTATTTTGGGGAGCCGTTCGTATCTCAATAGGAGATAAAAATTGGTCATTTGTTGCATTTTGGTGGCCTTGTAGGGCTTTATTTTCTAAGAAGTCTGCTTTAATTGTACACAGGATTCATATGAATACTAACAGCCTGCTTGTTTATAAGCACTCTGGTCTGGGCTTCTATAGTCTGTTTGAATGTGGGTAGGAATCTGTCACAGGCCATTAAAATGTTGTATTTCACTATAAAGTCATTCTGTGTATTTTTAAGACTTTGGCTCCTCTTGTTGGTCAGTTTTGGAAATGCAGCACTTCACGTCTCGGGACATTTCAGTGCTGAAGAAACTGTTGAAGAAAAGAAAAGAAATCCATACTATAAAAATACTCTATGTAAATTCAAACAAAAACAATAAACCTGGGGACTGTGGTGTAATTGCTTTCCAAATATAAGCGATGCCAAGCCCATTCAGTTCAGTCTTATTCATGTAATGCCAGTTCACACCAGCAGCTGTCTCAGGGTGATTTATATTTTTCAGTCTTTAGTCAGATCCCTGTTAGTTTTAGCTTTTCTTCCGGGGATTCACAGACAGGATTTATATTGTAAGGTAAGGACCCTGCAAAATTAAAGCAGAAAGGTCTCCAGTGAGCAAGCACTCGGTGACGGTGGGGAGGAAGAACTTCCTTTCAACTGGAAGAGACCTCCAGTAAAACCAGGCTGAAACCTTTCACCCTTAAAAAAAATAAAATAAAATAAAGATTTCTTCAATAGATCTTTTTCCATCTTCACTGAGTTTAGTCATTACATTACAGATTACAGTGGGAGGGAGTAAAATGTGAACATTTATTCCATCTTTGATTTCACCTTCTCTAAATATAGGAAGACAGCATGCTTCACATCAAGATAAAACCTGTAAATAACAGTAAATGTGAGCCTCAGCTCCTTGGTGCTGCACATGAGCCATAAGTCATTTACAATACATTAACAGACGCCTCATCTCTTAACCAGAATTCTCAATTTTTGCAACATTAAATGTGTATAGATATGTAGGAATATACGATAATCCTACAGGATAAAAACTATTTTAAGTGTATTATTTAGGAGAGAAAATGAATGTATTCTTTTTAAACTCTGGAGATTTACAATTCTAAATCACTAGTATCAAAAGCAGTGTTACCAAAAACAAACAAACAAACACATGAACTATTACTATGTATACCATGTGCTTTATTAGTCCACCAGGTTTATGTCACAGGTGCCCTAAATCAACAGCACTGTTAATTACTAGAATCCTGTTTTATCCACCAGTATGCACAAGCCCTTTGATCAAACTGATATTTTTATCCCTAAAATATAATTGTTATTCAAATGTTCAAATTTGCATCCACAAAAAGGCTAAAGTATTTTTTTAAGATGCCAAATTAGTTTACTTGCATTCCTGAACAGTTGAACTGTTTAGTTTATTAATCTGACCTCAGATTTCCAGTGTGCCAGCTCGAGTATATAAAAACATGATTTCAGGTTAAACAGGGTTTTGACAGATTCCGAAAATGTTTTTGAACAGGTCTTACACATTTGTTAAACCCTGTATGTTTATATGTAAATACAGATATTTACATATAAACACAGTGGAATCTTTTTAATCCCTTTGGCAAAATGAATGAATCCAAACCTATTGCATTCATTTAATTTGTGTTTGAAACACAAATTAAATGAATGCAAAGAAAAGTGTGGTTTCTTTTTGTTACACTTGTGTGATGATCAGATTTTGGATTAAAGGTTTGGTTAGTCTGCAGAAAATATTCACATTTCCCAGTTAAGACAACTCTTCATATACACGACATACATGTGTTGCTTGCTGGTCCTTTTAGATGCTTCCATCAAGGAATAAAAGACAAAAGGAGCCGAAAGAGTTGTGTTGATGATTTATTCTTAAGGTAAACATCTTATTCAAAAATAAATTACCAGAGATATCTTTAAAAGAGACAGACACCTTCTCCTGCCCGCGCATCACAATCTATGCTTTTCCTGTCAGATTTATTCACGCGTTTCCGCTAACGTCAATCCTCACGTGGAGAAACTAAACCTACAGCAGCAACTTATTCTTAAACCACAGACTGGTAAGTTGATCAACAAGAGAGGAAAACAAAAAAATAACCATTTAACTGATTCGCTATAAAAATGTACACAAAGTTTATTTAAATATTTAATCCAACGTACATGCCCGATTTGTAGTATGAACACATAAAAAAAAACAACCCAAAAAACAAAAGACTGTACAGTACAAGACTGGTGCTTAAGGTGAGCAGTGGATGGAATCGATGTGAAAAAGACAGGTGCGACGAGTTAAACCGACAGGGTAGATTTATTTAGATCATTTAACAGTCAAGCACATTTTATTCATTTCATTCTGGAGATTGAAGCTCTGACAGCTGCCTCAACAAAAAGGCAGGTAAAGTGTCAGGTAAGGGGTTTGGGGAGCGAGCTGAGAAGACGAGACCTACAGCACTCACTTGTGTCAGTTAAAGTAAAAGCTGATCAGCTTAGCTTCACCGACACTGGTTTCATTTGAATCATGTCTTTGTGCTAAACTAACCAGCAGCTGAGTGTTGCTTCTCATCCAACTTTCAGCAAGAAAGTGGACAAACATAGCTCCTCAAACTTAATCCTTTAATAAGGTTTATAAAAAAACAAAAGCATCAAATTTACCATAAATAATGTACAAAACATCTGAGCTGGGGCTCCCAAAGCAACAGTCAAACTTACAGCCTGTAGGTCCTAAAACTGCAAACAATCAGCACTAGTGTGACTTAAACTGAACTACCTCACTATAGCTGGACTCTAAAAGCTCCTCATGATATAACACAGCTCCTCTTAACAGCATGCAGTGGGCCAAAATCTGTCAGGTCTGTTACAAGAAGTCCAGATATAACGCGTAAAGAACAAGAGGCTTGAGACTCAAGAGATAATAATGGAATATGAAACAAGCGCAAAGATGGGAGCCCAGATGTGGATTATACAAATGTTACCTGATTAACTTGTCTTCCAAATGTAGTGCAGAAAACTAATAAAGGAGGCAGACAGAAGAGAGAGAAAAAAAGAATTACAGCTTTGATTTTTATCCAGAAGTCACATTTTCAGTGGTAGATAAATGTCTTTAAATTGCCTCAGACTCAGATTTTAATTTACTTTCACTTCAGTAGAATCAAGAGAAACTTGGGCGTCACATCTTCATGAGCTTTTTAAGTCGATTAGTTGTCTGTTCTTGCAGGACAAGCTATCACCAGGCAGAAGAGGAAGTAAACTGAGCTGGCCTGTAAGACGAAATGAATTCAGTTTGCATCCAATGCTGATAACAGCTGCCCACAGCTGTGTCAGTTTTCCCTGAATTACAGCTTAATCATGATACGAGTGCAGTTCTCTACCAGCATCAATCTGTGTGCGCGTGTGTGCCAGCCTTCAGTATGCATCACAATGCAGCATGGCACACTGGAGAAGATTTGTCAGGTGTTTTGGCAGGAGGCTGGACTCTGCTCAGTCAACATGCAATATCTGAGCTGAGGCACTGGGGGGCGATGAAGAGCAGAGCAGGCAGAGGGCCTCAAGTCCTCGACAGGCAAATAAAGAGGGGGGCAGCTATGTGATGAAGGACATTTGGCAGGAAAAACAAAAAAAGTGGGTCAGCTTTGGTGTTGAACTAGTTTCACAGTTCTAGGACTGAACACGCCGAGTCAGTGGAGGATGATGATAATGAAGATAACAGGTAGAGTTGAGGAGGAAGAGCATCAATCACTCTTTAACCTTGTTTGCTGCGAGCCTTGTTCTGTCAAGCTGGCTCTAATAGAGTTCATCACTGTCTGTCTCATGTTATCCCCCATGTATTGCTCAGTAACTGGCTTCAGAACCTGCAGGAGGAGAAAAAAAAAAAAAAGGATCTGCATGAACGGATGATCAAACTGATTATCAGTTACAAATAGTCGATAAAGGAGACAGAAACTAAAAGAAAGTAGGTTAGGGAAGAAAAGCACTTAAAAGGAATGAAAACAAAAAAAGGATGTATTTTTCAAAGTGCTGACCAGGGAAACAACTGAAAACTCTTAAGACGCGTGATTCACAACAAAGCCAAGGAAAAAGAAAACCTTTGTTTCTATCCACACAGAATAAAATTATAAACCGTTTGTGCAGCCTCCGTGTCCCAGACGTGCTCCGTGCTCACACCCAGTACAAAAATCCAGCATCAACAGACTGAAAATCAAAAATCAAGAGGCCAGCAAACTGAAGGTTTTGATACAAGATATACACGTTTACGAGTCTGCAAATCCACCAGCTGACCAGCAGTTAGTTGGTCTTCTTGTAGTTGTCGTTGAGAGGAGACAGAGCTTTCAATTCCAGTGTTGCTCCTGACGGGAGGGAAGGGAGGAGAGAAATAGGCCACGCCAGGCAGCTCCTGACGGGCTCCAAAAGTTTGGAAATGACCTGAGAGGAAAGCAGGGAGGAACGGGGGAGTTAAACAGAGGGGAACCAGGCACTGATACTGGAAGAGGCCGTGGGAAAGAAGTGATGGAAAAATAAATAAAATGATAAATAAAATCAGAACAGAGAAGGAAATGATATGATGCAGGCAGACAAAAACTGGAATCAACATCGCTCACCTTTCTTACCATCCTCTAAACAGCAGGAGAGGCACAAACAGAGACAGGAAGGTTGAGTGATAAAACATTAAAAAAAAAAAAAATAGGGAAGGCAAACAAACGAGGATGAAAGATGTGCTGGCTGGGTTTCACTGGAGCTCTGTAAGGTGAAGTGAATATAAGGATAACAGGATAAGAGGACAGAAAAAAAGGCTAGAAGACAAAGAGGAAGAGAAGCATGTAAGGAAGAAAATAAACCAGATGTGCACAGATATAATGAACCTGGAGAAAAATAAGCTGTTAACATAATGACTTTTACATTAAGCTTCAACTTAAACTAAATACACAAAACAGTAAGAACAAATACACAAATCCATCAGATTTATACTCTGTGGATATTATTAGAAGGATAATAATTAACTGGCCCAAGATGGACCACATAACCAATTATTCACCTGAATTATTCAAACTACTCTCACTTAATCTCAGCATCAGATTGGGCTGCAAGCTACTGTAATTTCTCTTCACTAGTTTCTCACATTTAAGTCTAGATTATACTTGTCATTCCTGGTTGACAGAATGTAAATGTAATGTGATGATATGTAAATTCTCAATGGGAGAGCCCCTGCTTCGTATGGTCAAA